AATCTTGAGAAAGAAGAACATAGCTGAAAACCTCACACTTTGTGATTTCAAAGCATGTGACAAAGGTACATAAATTAAAACAATATTGTACTGATATGAAGGCTGACATAAAGATCAATAGAACTGAATAGAGAGAAATAGACTCACATGTTTGTAGCCAATTGATCTTCCACCAGGGAGCAAATAATACACAATGGGGAAAGGATAGTTCCCTCATCAGAGGGTTTTGAGAAAACTGGTTATCCACATGCAAAAAAATAAAATTGGATCCTTATTTTACACCATATGCAAAAATCAACTCAAAATGAATTAAAGACGTAAGTGTAAGACCTGAATCTATAAAACTCCTAGAAGAAAACATAGGGGGAAAAGCATCATGACATCAGTCTTGGCAATGATTTATTGGATATGATACCAAAAGGCACAGGCGACAAGAGCAAAAATAAAGTGGAACTACATCCATCTAAGAGGCTTCTGCACAACAAAGGATACAATCAACAGAGTGAAAGATAACCTACGGAATGGGAGAAAATATTTGTAAATCATATATCTGATAAGGGGCTAATATCTAAAATATATAAGGAACTTCTACAACTCAATAGCAAAGAGCAAACAACTTGATTAAAATATGAACAAAGGAATAGACATTTCTCCAAAGAAGACACACGAGTACCCCACAGGTGTTTGAAAATATGCTCAACATCACTAATCAAATCAAAATCATATTGAGATATCATTTCACACCTGTTAGGATGATCATTGTCAAAAAAAACAAAAAAGAACAAGTGTTGGCAAGGATGTGAAAAAATTAGAGCCCTCGTGCACTGTTGGTGGGAATATAAAATGTTTCAGCCATTATGGAAAACAGTATGGAGATTCCACAAAAAAAACCAGAATAATTTACCATCATGTAATTCATCAGTCCTACTGCTGGGTACCTATCCAAACAAATTGAAATCAGGATGTCAAAGAGCTACTTTACTCCCGTATTTATTGCAGCATTATTCACAATTGCCAAGATGTAGACACAATCTAAATGTCCATCGATGGATGATAGGATAAAGAAAATGTGGTATATACATACAATGGAATATTATTCAGCCTTAAAAAAGAATGAAATCCTATCATGTGTGATAATATGGGTGAACTTTGAGGACATCAGGCTAAGTGAAATGTTTGTCACAGAAGGACAAATATTGTCTGATTTCATTTACATGAGGTATCTAAAGTAGTCAAACTCATAGAAGCAGAAAATAGAATGGTGGTGGGCAAGGGCTGGGGGGAGGGGGAGATGAGTAGCTGCTGTTCAATGGGTATAAAATCTCAGTTATACAAGATGAAAAAGTTCTAGAGATATGATGTACAAGATTGTGCTTATAGTAAACAATACTGGTCTGCACAGTTGAAAATTTGTTAAGAGGATAACTCTCATGTTATGTATTTTTTTATTACAAAAAAACCTTATTGATAGGTTAAGTGTTAAAGATCAATTCACCATCTATGTATGAGGTTCTTTACTCTCAAACTAAATATGATAATATCTAGAAGTTGTATTCTGCATTTTCAAATAAAATAAGCATTGGTTTTCTACTTACAATTGGCTTCGGCCATCTAATTGGTTGTATTTCCTTTAGAGAAACATTCAGTTTAATGACCATTACCTTGATAGCTCATCTCTTGTGGTGCAGTTTCATTATACCTCTGTGGTTTCTTAGACTTCCCTCAGGTTTATGATCTGAACATCCTCTCTTCCATAGCTCTTTAGTCAAGGATGAAATTTTCATTATTTCCAGTGAGAGATAGGCTAGGTGGCAACTGTGGCTCGTATTGTTGATTATGTTGTTATTACTATTAGCAGTAGTAAACATTGATTAAATGCCCATTGTGCAGTGAACGAAGTAGTAAGATGTTGAAAACTGGCATCCTTTTGCAGGAAGCTTTCATCCTTTAAAAGCATGATGAACCCCTCCTCCCCAAAAATATACAGTAATACTTAAATTTGCTTTATGGAACTGTAAAACTGAGACTTGGAGGAAAAGTTAGCTGTCAGCTAATCCAAAGTCCCCTGGTGGGTTTGGGTTCCTATACAACATCCCTTTGCTGCATCAGTGCCTGTGCTTTTCCAGGGAGCAAGATCCGTTATTAGATAGCTCTAAATGTTATACAGTCCTTTTTCCTCTTGAGGTAAAGCCCAGGACAAGCTATGGGTGAATTTTTCTATGACAGAGTTACAGTCAAGGTAACCTCTGAATATTAGGGCCATTATTTTGAACACAGAACACTTATTTTGAACACAGGACAGGAATTGTTTTTACTCAGCTTTCTCTGTACAGAGAGAAAAAAGTCAGATAATAAGGTTGTCAATAAATTATGGGGAAGCAATTCAGCATAAGACATAAGGAAAGTCCATAAGACATCTTCATGATGGTTCGATAGTCTACAGTTGGTGTTTATTTCTTGGCTGAATGGTAGGGAGGAGAAAACTGAGCATGGTAAGAGTGACTGTATTTCCTATGTGTAAACTCCTAACTTATCGCCAAGTTTTTACATAGTGTCAGGCTGAGGACACTTTGAGTTAGAGGCTAATTCAAGGTGTGCACCTGTGATTTAAAGAGATGAATGTACATTTATTAGAACGTGAATTCATAGGAACATAACTATTTGGACATTGTATTAGTTTTCTAGGGCTGTCGTAACAACATGCCACAAACTGGATGGCTTAAACAATAGAAATTTATTGTCTCATAGTTCTGGAGGCTAGAAGTCCAAGGTCATAGAGGTGGCAAGGTTGGTTCCTTCTGGGGGCTGTGACTGAGAATCTCTTCCAGGCCTGTCTTCCAGCTGCTGGTGGCTTGCTGGCATCTTTGGCATTTTTTGGCTTGTAGTTGAGTCATGATCTTCGTATTCAAATAGTGCTTTCCCTGTGTGTGTATGTGTGTCCAAATTTCCCCTTTTTGTAAGGACACCAGTCATACTGGGTTAAGAGCCCACCCTACTCCAGTATGACCTCTTCTTAACAAAGTACATCTTCAATCAACCCTATTTCTAGAAAAGTTCACATTCTGACATACTGATGGAGTTAGGACTTCAATGTACGAATTTTGGGAGGTATTTAAGTAATGTGTTCAGTGCTTTTAAAACAGCTAATCCATGAACTTTGAAGATCCCTGAAAACTCAAATAGATGGTTAAGAATTTCAAATAAAGTACAATTATAAGCAAAATCCCCAAGAAATATAGCTGCATAACCATGAAATTAATTGGATGAGTGTCAGGATGAAGCTTTCCCATATAATGATTTTGAATTCTCAGAAGTAAGAGAGCACCCAATTTATGGCTTTAATTTTAATCTGTGCAGGATCTATGCTAAGCGAATAAAGAAGTTTTGTTTCTTTGTTTGTTTTAAGAAAGATTACAGAGTTAAGTTTCAATTATATAAATGAAGGGAAAGGTGGTATAGATAATTCAAAATAAAAAATATTGAAAATGTCATTTTTAGTAGAATGGCAACAGATTTATCTTCTAATAAATAGTTTGCTTAGCTTGTTTTTGTGTTACAGGAATTTTCCACGGACAGCACTGAGAGGTGGAAAATGTGTGGTTATGCTATTTATTCACTATGGGACTTAGGGCTTGCAAATTTACTTTTGAACCTATAAAGCTGCAGATGTAGCATTTTTATAGGAAAAGTGGGAAGAATAAGTCAACTCTTGATGATGGTGTGATGATACGTAGGTTTTGCTCATGAACTGTTACTGCTGTTGTTTAGTTTGCTTCCCTCCAGATTTTATTCCCACTCCCCTCGCCAGGAACGTGATTGACCATGACCCCAACATCACTGGTTTTAAGGAAGGGGTAAAGATTATTTGTGAAGGTACCTTTGTTGAAGAAAACATGCAAATACACTCAACGTGGAATACACAAGATTCAGTAAATAAAATTAATAATTTCTCAGATTCATTCTCTAATAGCACTTGTATACAAATTTGTTATAAAAGAGGGTTATATGCAAAGCAAACAAAAAATCAAACCCAGAAGATTTGCAGCACACTTACCTGTTTCAAGTTCTGCTTGCATTGACCAGAACGCACACCTTCATAAAACTTTAAAACTCCTGGCACTTTGATTTCTTGTTTGGATTTTCATATTTATACTGGAGAAATCATTTAAAAAGCATCTGTTCATCAAATTTGGTGGGAGTAAAAAATACACAGATCCCTACTGCATAATGGCAATAACACTAGCAAGAGCAGGTCTTTAATGCTTTTGTGAAAATTTGAAACAAAGCAAAACTTGTTACCCTCTGCGTCAATAAGCATTTGTGCAAAAAATCCATCGCGTATCTGGTCGTTAAGCCCTGTTGAGATTATTTAGCTTTGCGTCCCAAGAATCTAACGATTATATCTTACCTCAAATCCATAATATGGAGGAGAATGAGAAATAGACTTACGCATTTCTAGAAAAACAAATTTTTAAAATATTTCCTTTGTAATATGAGTGTATATGCCTTGTCTAAAATAAGATTCTCTCTCTTTTTTTACATTTTAAATTTATTAAGTGAGTGTTAATGCAGTGAATTTCCATAATGGGTTGGTCAGCATCTTTACATAGTAAAAGTGGGCATATTCCGGGGTCTGGCACTGTGGTGCAGTGGTTAAGTTCACATGTTCTGCATCGGTGGCCCGGGGTTTGCCTGTTTGTATCCCAGGTGTGGACCTATGCATTGCTTGTCAAGCCATGCTGTGGCAGGTGTCCCACATATTAAAGTAGAGGAAGATGGGCACGGATGGTAGCTCAGGCCAATCTCCCTGAGCAAGAAAAAAAGAGGAGGATTGGCAGCGGATGTTAGCTCAGGGCAAATCTTCCTCAAAAACAAAACAAACAAATAAAAATGGACATATTCCCTTTGAACAGTTCTTCCTGCAGTTTTTTTTTTTTTTTTTTGTGAAAAGGTCGTTAACAAAAATCATTCATGCAATTACAATAGTTGCTTCAACTTACTTATGTCAATATGTTGTTGTCTTAACCCCAAGTTCATTTCTGAGTATCCTATGATGTCAGCCAGCCATCTCCACATCTTTAAAAGCAAAAAAAAGCTTATTTGTTGATTACATATAACTAAGGAAATAAAAGCATTGCAAAAACTTGAAAATTAAACGCAAGCTTTTCAAATAAGATGTGTGACCCATTTATTGGACCTCACTTTGAAAAATATATATGAGTTTTACTTTTTATTTGGCACATTGAAATATTGCAAGATTCTTCATCACGTTGATTTATTCACTTATTCATCATCTGTTTTTCTTTGTTAAACTATGGTTATTTTTGGCCTAAGTGCAAAATGGAAGATATTTTAACAAGTTGTATATGCAAATGCAATTACAAGCTCTGCATCCAGAGGTGTTTGAACATGTTTTCACTTGACATTCAGATTTGTTTAGATACTAAACACAGCAGGTGTAAGTCCACAACCTCATATCTGCGGTTCTCAAATTCCAAACCAGGAAAAGCGGAATTCTTTTTCATAAACTTCTTAAAGGCAAAACCTGACCTCATGTGAATCAATCTGGTTGTAACACCTGGGGTCATTTCCATTTAGTGTGAACAGTGATCTCACTGCACAAATGTTAATATTTTGATTCCTGGCCCTTTGGAAAGATTTAAGGTGGATGCACCATATTGCTTTTCTAAACTCTCCAAAATTCTGAATTCCTAAACAAATCTGACCCCAAGCATTTCCAGTGACAAATGGTGGGCCTGTGTTTCCTCTATCCTTTCCTAGAGGAACTTACACAACTTTGTAAATGTCATGAAGGTATTCATCACAGTGTGATTCTGTTTGTGTGTTTGTTTATTTCTGTAGGTGTGAATCTGACATTATCATAACCCATTTTGTAGGTAGAGGGACCTATACCTTTTGAAAGACTGAAATTGTTTTTCCCACAAGAGGATTTACAACATTGCAATTAACTCAAAAGAGATTTCCTACATACTCACATGGTAAGTCATAAGATCTGCCGGTAATGTTGGTAATAATTTTGGTAGGACTGGTCTTCATTGTTGTTGATGACAGCAATGGGTATTGTTATTTATGTGGGTTATTGGAATAATTCTTGTGTGACAGGTGAAATAACTCATTAAACATAAGTGTCTTAAAGGCTGGACAACGTAATTCATTCTGCCATAATGATGCATAGGTAAGGGAGGCTAGGATGCTACAGGGTCAGATGAGATTTTGGCTTTTAGATTGAAAAGTTCTATGTTAGATGAAGCGGGTCTCCTGGGAGGCAGTTTCATTATATCCCTGATGTTAGCAACATTGTCTCATAGAAAAAATTTTCATTTCCCTGGTTTCATTTCATTGGTCCTAGCCATATCCCTTTGTGCTGCTCTAAATAATTCAATATTTTAGCTCCTAGTAGAGGGCTCCTTTCACTCCCACTTCCTGCTCCCACTTTATCCAATAAAATCTTGGGTTTAAATTTGCTATTGTTTAATATCTTTTAATTTTATTCTCTGGACCTCAGTCTACAATTCATCTGCCTTTTACTACCCAAAGTTTCCCTAATAGATACGATCAGAGCTACTTAGTGATAATAATAATACATTTTTACACAAAAGTAGAATCAAATGCAGCAATTCATATCTTTTTTCACTAACAGTTCTGGGGTATTATAAGTTTTTTCTGCCAACAGCCAGCTGCTTTCCAATTGCCACTAAGACAAATAAAACCTAATAAAAATGATGACTTTATAATAATTAAAAGTCAAAAAATAGCTGGATCTTTTCCCACTTAGTTGCCAACGCTTAACTGACTTTCTGTTCTATAATTAGTTAACATTTGACATTTTGTTATTTTCTTTGTTTTCCTTGCCTGGTTTTTAAATTATTGTTTTTATCAATTACGTATCCTAATGTATCTTAGAAAATTTCAAGCTCAATCCCCTCGTATTGTTGCTATGTTTTTCTCTTACCCTATTTTCATTTATTTCAAAGGTATTAAAGAAAATTTATTGAAATTCCCCTGCCTCCCTTTTTTTTTGTTTGAGGAAGATTAGCCCTGAGCTAACATCCGCTGCCAATCCTCCTCTTTTTGCTGAGGAAGACTGGCCCTGAGCTAACATCCATGCCCATCTTCCTCTACTTTATATCTGGGACGCCTACCACAGCATGGCTTTTGCCAAGTGGTGCCATGTCCGCACCTGGGATCCGAACCAGTGAACACCAGGCTGCTGAGAAGCAGAATGTGTGAACTTAACCGCTGTGCCACTGGGCCGGGCCCCTGCCTCCCTTTTTTATACCGTGTGCTTAGTAAAATCATTTGCAAGTTTGGAGAGTGAATACCACATGAGTTCTACTCCTAATAAAATTTGCAATATTGTAAAAAAAGCAGATATACAAAAAATTGGAAAGAATGCCATTCTTTAAGATAGGGGTGAGTATGTGTGAGTGCGGAGGGGGACACGAGATACCAAGAGATGAGTGTAAACTGATGTCAGACCTCCAAATGCAAATTGTGATGATGATGTTACTTTAAATTCGCTCACTTGCAAACTGGTTAAGATTAGAGTCAATGCTGGGATATGTAGTGGCTTAAAGCAGACCAGAAAATGTTTTCAATTTCTCCCCTCAAGAGATGGAGACATTTTTTATGCCGTTGAATCTGGGCTGGCCTTACACTTTGCTTTGGTCACTAGAATTTGATGAAAGTGATGTGGTAGTTCTGACCCTGCACCTCAAATGGCCTTACAACGTCGGTTTTAATTCTCTCAAAACACTGAAGCTACCCCTGAAGGATTCCGAGCTAGTCATCTTGAGGATAGGAGACCATGCTGTAAAAGGGATCCAGCAGATAGCCTGCAACAGCCATCAAGACTATGACTTGGCCTGTACAGCCCCAGATGAGCTGCCGGATGACAGTGGCCACATGAGTGACCCCAGGTGAGACTATCAGGAGAATTGTCCAGCTGACCTCAGACTGAATTGCTGACCACTGCATCCTGGGCAAATAAATTTATTAATAATTTAAGCCATTTTGAGCCGCCAAGTTTTGGGGTTGGTTTGTTAGTGCAGCAAAACTTAACTGAGATAGACAGAAATAAACATGTAGACAAGGCAAGGGGCATTTGGTTTTATGGAAGAAATGCTTTTCAAGTGTTTTTTATGATAATACAGTGTGCAGTTTTCTCTGGAGGTGCACACTAGTTCTACTGTTGTGTCGATTGTACCACAATCAAAATCAAGCAATTGTACCACAATCGAACTCTCGTTTGTGTCTAAAATATTTGACCATTTAATTAAAAAGGTTATAAAAACTTTTGCAAACAGTTGAGAAGAATCATATCAACAAAATTATTAAACAGGCTGCTTGAAAAAGATAAGCTATTGACATGAACATTTTTCAATTTTTTAATTTAACTTGTATTTGCATCCGAGTAATATGTGTATAAATGCATTTTTCACTCCTACCCTTTACTGATTTCCATTTCTAAAAGCCAATCACTCTCAAGTCTTTTAGCTCCTTCTTCTGCTATTTACTTTTACATTCTCAAACAGCATATTTATACATAATACATTTTAATTTTTTAACTTGAGATAGTATCTTCTGATTTCTTACCACAAGCAAAGAAGATTTACCATTCACACATATATCACAACTTCAACCACACATTCCTCCCCTCTCCCCTTTCCCCCAATATATTTCTTTGGGTTTAATTAATATTCAGCATTAAATGATCATGATTATGACATAAATATTCTTCAAAGTAAAAACATGCAACATGTACTTTCTTACTTGTAATCTTTTTATTTTCTCTAAAGTTAATAATTGCCTAGATTATTTATTTTCTTAATCTTCAATGTCCTTATTACTAATTTGTTCCCAAATTCTCCTTTGTGGTTGTAAATCTTGTCTCAAAATGATAAGACACATCTGGGAATCAACAGATTCACATTCCTTGTGGAAGAATACTTAAGACTTCTATTTCTCTGTCCAATATAGACTTGTTTTTCTCTAGGCCTAATGGACAACGAGTATCCTAGACTTAGAACTCCCCTTAACCACAATTCTGGGAATTTCTTTTCCTCTCTGCCACGTTGGAGCTACGGTTTCTAGACCTCAGATCTTCTTTCTTTCTTGCATTAATATCTTATTTTGTTGAGCCCATTCTCCAGTAACTTCATTACAAAGGATGAATGAAAATAGAATCACCTTGATGTAGAAATCCAGAAATTCCATAAAGTCTGCAGTCTATGTGGATGGTAACACTTAAAGATGGATGGTGCATAGTTCACACAACTATATTGGCAGCTCTGACATCAAGTACATTTTTTGAGACATTGTCTGAAATTATTTCAAATCTATGTTCACATTTGATTGTTGTTTTTTACTGGGTACAGTATTATAGAATAGAAATTATTTTCCTCAGAATTTTCAAAGCATTCCTGCAAAGTGATCTAGCTTCTGGTCTTGATATTTTCTGAACTAAAAGCCTGATTTTTTTCTGCAGACATTCAGAAACTTTTATCCCTTGTCTTCTAAGATTTCTAGTGGTGTAACCTGACAAAAGTCTCATTTTTACGTGTTTTTTTTTTTTTTGAGCTTTCTGCAGGCCGTTTCTATTTGAATATTCACATCCTTTCAGAATGGAAAATTCTGCTTATTTGGTTGTTTGATGTATACTTTTTCCTCTCAATTTTCCCAGCTCTCTTTTTCCAGAACTCATATTAATCACATTCTGGGTGTATACTCTAATTTGTATGTCTTTCTCTCCAAATTTATATCGTTTTGCTTTTTTGTTTTACATGGTTTTTAAAAACTTTTTACTTTGTTTTCCCAATGTCTGTTGTAGTTTTAAAAATTCTGCTGCCATATTTTTAATTTCTAAGAGCTTATTCTTGTTATATTAATATTTTAGAATGTTCTGTTGTTTGGTTGATGCAACATTTTTTCTTGTTTCTTTCAAAATATTAATTATAGTGTTTTTATATGTTTCTTCTATTCCAAGCAGTGTCTCTGTTTCCTTGAAGTTTTTTTTTTTTATTTTGTAGGCTTGGTTTTGTTTCTTTCACTTTAGA